CCCCCGTGACCTATCGCTTCATTTCCTGCCCCAACGCTTCATCTTCCCCCACGACACTGCCACGTGTATGGCCACGATGCACTGTCCCCTACCCTTACCCTGTCTTTTCCATTTTCACATCAGCACATTTTAGAACCCCACGCCCCCCTGGTCGGCACACCTCACGGTCGACCCCTGCCGCTCGGCCACCCTCGTGGTCGCCCCGCCTCACGGCCGACCTCTCCCGCTCGGCCACCTTCCAGTCGGCCTCTCCACTCGTTTCACACTTCTCTCCCTTCTTACTATTCCCTTCGTTGGTCTAAAGCTGCACTCGGAAATGGGGGACTACTGACATGGATAGGCCCACAAGGCACACGGCCCACGGTAAACCACCCCGAACCCAGTGCTTGGGGCCAATGGCACAACCCGGTTGACAAGGCCCAGAACAGCTGGAGGCCACCTAGACATGAAGGGCCAACGGCATTTAGGCACACGGCAGGTGGGACACGGGCCACATCAGCAGACAAAGATCTGCAGAGTTATTATCACAACACATCACCATTAATGCAACCCATCACAGCATTTATTACAACAGCACTCCCCGCCGGAACAGAGCCTCCATCACCCTAAACAAGATGAGCTATGGCACAGGCTTTCGGCGAAAAAAGCACGTCACAGGAGACAGGAAAAATGATGACAAAAGGATATAAGCAAGGATAAGAGGAAAGAAAAAGGTTAAGTGATCTCTCTCTTGATCTCTCGATATACAGTTTTTTTTTATACTCTGCTCTACTAATTCTTGCACCGGAGGGTTCACTGGGGGACTACCCCGTTCCCCCCCGAACTTGCATGCAGGTCATCTGACGGAGTCTCCTTCTTGAGCCGGAGCCTGAAGAGCCTGGGCCGGTCCGACCCATCCACCCGGGAACCGATACATCATCAGAGGCGATGGGTAATAAAGCACCTGTGTCCGTACTGACAGATGGGGGTAAGGCGATGCGAGAGGCAATCAGAAGAGTATTTCTAGATGCAAGACATCGATTATGTAATTGGCATCTTGGAAAAAATGCTGTTTCAAGTGTTCACATAAGTGGCTTTGCACATGCTTTCAAGCAGTGCATGGACATGGAAACGGATGAGACAAAGTTTGAGCATGGCTGGACGACAATGGTCGAAAAATTTGGACTTCAAACCAATAGTTGGGTGTTGGAGACATATGAAAAGCGTCATATGTGGGCCGAGGCATATATGCATGGACATTTCTTTGCTGAGATGAAGAGCACTCAGCGCTCGGAGAGTGTGCATGCTTATTTCAATGCCTTCCTCCAACACAAATTGAAGCTATATGAATTTGTTAGGCACTATGATCGGGCTTTTGCAAGGATAAGGTATAACGAGGCTAGAGATAATGCTGAAACAAATAACACTTTTTCGGTATTGATTACTCCATTGTGAGATATAGAGAGACATGGAGCTGAGCTATTCACCCGAAATATATTTAGAATGTTCCGTGATGAAATCTTAGAAGAGGGGAAGTTGAATGTGAAGGATGTGTTCCCTTTGCCGGATGGTCAGAAATGCTACTATATTTTGCAAGGATAAGGTATAACGAGCCTAGAGATGATGCTGAAACAAATAACACTTTTTCGGTATTGATTACTCCATTGTGAGATATAGAGAGACATGGAGCTAAGCTATTCACCCGAAATATATTTAGAATGTTCCGTGATGAAATCTTAGAAGAGGGGAAGTTGAATGTCAAGGATGTGTTCCCTTTATCGGATGGTCAGAAATGCTACTATATTCAGAAGTACAAAGTGAATGATAGATCATGGATAGTAACACACAGTCCAGTAGATGTTGCAATAAGATGTTCTTGCATGAAGTTTGAGTCGTTGGGACTACCTTGTTGTTACATGATATGTGTTATGAAAGCCGAAAATTAAACGCAAATTCTCCCAACTTGTGTACTGCGTAGATGGACAAGGGCTGCAAGCAAGGATGGCTAGCAATGGCATCAACCCTCAATTGATAGCACTACAACACAGACAGCCCGGTATGGGATATTGAGTTTTTCCTACAATGAAATGTGTTTCTATGCCTCGCAATCAACAGAAGGTTTCAAAGAGGCTAAGGATGCATGTCTTCCGATGACGAGCCGGATGAAGGAGTTATATGAGAGGAATCTAAACGATGGGAATGGAGACAAAGGGAAACATTCATTCCCTCGACAATTTGGAGTAGAAGATCCTGATGTTGTAAAGACAAAAGGGAACCCGGGACGGGCGTCATCCAACTGTCGAAGACCAAGAAAATGTGGGAATTGCAAATGCATTGGGCACACAAAGCAAACGTGTCCTAATGTTCGGTTTAACCGAACAGTGGGTAGTAACTCAAATGCAGATACAACCCACATAACTGACCGTGAGTACAATGCGGAGTCATTGCCTGTTCGCTGCAAAACTGGGTTGGTGGATCCAAGTACACCGCACATTAAGCAACGAAGACTATTTTTGGATGCTTCTCCTGATTCCAAGCAGCCTGTGGGCCAATACAGTAGTGTTGAAGTAGCAGTGTGCAAAAATGATTCGACCACAATTGATGAGGTGAATCAAGTAATTCTATAAATTGTATGATTTACTTATTCCCTTAATTTATTTGGTAGACAGTACTACTTATTCCCTTAAAACACATGTAAATAATATATGTAGTTTTCATTTTGCACGGATTGCTGTACGTAATGTGTAAATAATTTGTTACGTACAATGTCAGGAAATGGCACAACGTTACTTATGTACAAGGCCACGAGTTTTAAATTTTCCATATTGTTTAGAGTGATATTGTCATTTGTGTTTGCAGTGACTTGTCATTTTGAAAACTAATTGAAAGTGAGATATATATGGGTTGTCTGTGTATTGTTTTGGGTTGGAAATTAGCTTATGTCTGTATTCCAAGATTCCTACTGCGGGTTGCTTGTTTCTGTTCCATATTTGGTTAGATCTAACTGAAGGGTTTTTTGCGGTGTGGTTTATCAGCTAACGATGTGTTTGGCTTCGTATTGATTTGTTATGACATGTTTCGGTAAATTAGTATTATATTTCGAATAAAATACGAATTTTGTCCATGTGGGTTTGCAAAATTACATCCCAGCACATGCATTTTGTATATAATCCAAGTGGCAGTTAATTTTGGGTGTTTCTTGGAAAAAGTAACCCAACGAACTCGTTACTTTATCTACATGCCGATTGGTATATGAATTACGAGTTACGAACAAGAGTTGTGAAATTATTTCATGTTAACCGTGAAAGTGATGGATTTATTGTTAGTAAAATTATGGTGGGCCTATATCGACATCAACGAAGCAGTAATTTAAAGTTGACAAGTTAAAGAAGAAAATCAAGCAATTGTGGTATTGGTTCGAATGCCTGAAAAGGATGAAGACTTCTTTCGATGAACTGATGGTAACAAAGTAGAAAGTAGAAAGTAGAAAGTAAGTTGTTGTGTTGTTTGTAACAAAGTAGAAAGTAGAAGGGAAGAAACTACTCAGAAGTTACAATGTAGAAAGTAGGTTGTTGTGTTGTTGTTCATGTCCTCTCTCTCTGCAAACATTCTGCCCTTTATAGCTATTATTTCCCACAACCCCAAGATTTTCCGATTCTGCAATTGCTTCTGTGCAACTTCTGTAACTGCACGGTCATTTCCGTGTCTTGAAACCACATAAAACCTTCACTTGTACCTGTCAAAGTGCACATAATGGAAGCTGCCACCTGTGCCCAAGTCCTTTTAGCCTTTCCTCGACAAATACATAAACTCCCAATTCGTTCATGTTTCCTCTTGGAGGCTGGCCACTAAATCCATGAGCACTGCCAGTAACTGCTCCACCGTGTAAGTCAGGTGGCATGCAAGATTCAATGTTAGTTGATAACCCTTGTCTTCAGGTGGACTTGCCATGTGTCCTCAATTGAATGGATAAGCTGTTGGCAGGATGTGGGAAAAATAGGTGCAAAAGGGAATTTTTTAAAAATAACCAATCATAATTTAGCTGAAAATATGAGTGAACTTTTTTTTTAAAAGAAAGTAGTTTCCATTGTTATGATTATAAACCCGAGATGTATATTTTGTTTTCGATATAAATAAGTTGTGTATTTTGGTTACGTAAAATGTAGGACAACAATTGTGTTTAAGTCATTACAATCCAGAAAAAGGTTATTTCAAATATTAATAAGTTTACCGACATTGAATATATTTTGATTAAATTACAGGGAAAATTCAATATTTGGAAGAGTTTGATGATTCAAAGTCAGGGGCAGTAACAGTGAGTGGCCAAGTGTTGTGGTTCAGTGGCCCAGTTTGCAAGGATTGTGGTTGTGTTTAATGGAAAATATTCTGTCGATTTTTGTCTCATAATGATGAGGGTCATGCCCCACAATTGTGAAAAGGAAGGTCGACAAGGAAGAGTCAATATTTGGCAGAGGGGACTTGAAGATTCGAAGTCAGGGGGCAGTTACAGTGGCAGTTATGGTGTAGACGTATGGGATCATACAATGATGGGTCACAAAAACAGTATATGGATATCGAAACCAACGATCTCCCTTCTAGGCTTTCTAAGTATACTAAACCTCCACTACTATCTGTCGATCTCCTCCCTTTTCTTGTGTTTATTTCATGGCCACCAACTGTTTGAAACTTCTGTCGATAGAGCAAGGCTCCTGCTTTGTCTCATGCTTCCTCCTGAAAGTGTGTCCACTAACTCCATGACTGGTGCTAAAAACTTCCCCCATCACCTCTAGGTGACCCATATGCAGAGAGCCCACTTTCAACTGGTGGGCATTCCTTCAGACTTGGCCACATGTCCTCGATTAAGTGGACCATTTGTCGACAGAGACTGGCAAAACTTGGTGCAAACTATGGCCTCCTTGTTCAAATTAAATAACATATGAATTAACCTTGTGGAAGTGATTGAGACCCCCTCCAATCACCACCTGCACCACCACCCCAACCCCATCCCACCCCCCCCAAAAAAAATTCAATATTTGGCAAAGTTTGATGATTCAAAGTCAGGGGCAGTAACAATGAGTGGCCAAGTGTTGTGGTTCAGTGGCCCAGTTTGCAAGGATTGTGGTTTTGTTTAGTGCACAATATTCTATCGATTTTTCTCTCATAATGATGAGGGATATGCCCCCCAATGGTGAAAAGGAAGATCGACAAGGAAGAGTCAATATTTGGCAGAGGGGACTTGAAGTTTCGAAGTCAGGGGGTAGTTACAATGGCAGTTATGGTGTAGACGTGTAGGATCATGCAATGATGGGCCACAAAAACAGTATGCGGATATCGAAACCAACGATCTCCCTTCTAGGCTTTCCAAGTATACTAAACCTCCACTTCTATCTGTCGATCCCCCTTTTCTGTTGTTTATTTCATGGCCACCAACTGTTTGAAACTTCTGTCGACAAAGCAAGGCTCCTGCTTTGTCTCATGCTTCCTCCTGAAAGTGTGCCCACTAACTTCATGATTGGTGCTAAAAACTTCCCCCATCACTTCTAGGTGACCCACATGCAAAGGGCCCACTTTCAACTGGTGGATATTCCTTCAGACTTCACCACGTGTCCTCGATTAAGTGGACCATCTATCAACAAAGACTGGCAAAACTTGGTGCAAATAATGGCCCCTTGTTCAAGTTAAATATCATATGAATTAACCTTGCGGAAGTGATTGAGACCCCCTCCAATCACCACCTGCACCACCACCCCACCCCCCACACACACACACGAGAGGGCTGGTGTTTGGAGGTGAAGGAAAAAAAAAAAAAACTTGCCAATCAGAGAGAGAGGCGGTCATGGGGATGCCCCCTTGTGGGGGTCCAAGTCATATGATATTTAACTTCAACAAGGGGGCCATTGTTTGGGCCCAATAGCAAATTTAGTAATACGGGCCCAAAACAAACAAATACTACAGCCCAATATAAGAGCATTTAAATATACTGGCCCCATCATAAGCTATAAAATACCCACCTTTTCAACTTCAAACCACTTCATTTCCCTCTGATTCGAACTCATCAAACTGTACTCCTTCTTCTCAAGCATCACCGGTTAAAACCACAGAACCACAAAACCCTAAGCCATGGCGCCGAAAAAATCTCAACCATCTCCATCTGAGGAGAACAATGAAGACCTACTCCGTTTCCTAGACCCTATCAGAGCACGTATCGCTTCTCTAAAATTTGGTGCAACCCTATTGCCCAGCACAAGCTCTATCGCTAAGGCTACTCTAGGCCCTACCTTCGCGTCTTACTTCCCAGACGAGCTAGCTACATACTATCCCCTTGGTAATGGTGAGAACCTTTTTCTCAACCAACCTGGACTTAAGTGGACTAACTGGAATGTTAGTAAAAACCCACTCAGATCGTGAAGGTCACCAGCCTCTGTTTGGCGAAGCTGGGCCAGGAGAATTGAAGGTCACGACGCTGAAGTATGGAAGCACCAGGGCATTAGTGAAGCAATTAGACTGTCGACTAAAAATTATGACATGGATAAAGAGCTGATTGCTGCTGCTGCTGCTGCATGCTTTTGGTCGCAATCTTGTAACTCCCTACTCCTCAATTTTGGTATGATTTCCCCTACCATCTTAGATGTAGCTCATTTGACTGATCTCCCAATCTTAGGCAATCCAATTCATGCTCTCCTTGAGCCTCCAAAGTGACCTTTACTTTAAACACTGATATGTGCTATACAGATTTCGCCAAAAAATACAAAGGCGAGCCTGGTTCCCCTGTCCAGGACAAAGAAAGAACTGCTTTTTACTTACTTTGGCTTTGTGAGTTTCTTTTTTGTGTCCCTGGGTACAAAATCACAAAGGAATACCTCCCCCTTGCCTTGTGTATGCAAGATGGCCAACTTATGGCTTTAGCCCCTTATCTTCTTGCCACCCTTTACAAGGCCCTATTTTCCTTTGTCAACAAGAAGATTTCTGGCAACTGTAGTGGCCCCTTCTGGCTTTTCCAGGCCTGGTTGTATGCCTATTTCCCTGAGGCAC